AGAGAGAGACAGAGACAAACACTTCAGGAGGTTGCACTTACACTCCAGCAGTTTTTCCAGAAATGAGGGAAGCAGTATTTTGTGGTATCAAGTTGTAGACTGCAATTCGGCAGGAATCTTTTCTTGATGCGAGGGATGTTAAATATATTCTAGGATTTGTATTCGGTATGATCCTTTGTTCTAGGTACGAGCTTTTCTTTTTCTAAAGTTTTTCGGTCTCGCTCAAGGAAAGTGAAACTTAATATTATTTTGAAATTCTCTTAAAGGCTCCTTTCAAAGCATCTCACATGGGAAAATATCAGAACAGCTCAACACTGGTGTTTTTCAGTAAGAATAGAGTCCGATTTATTTTTCAACATGGCTGTATACTTTGCAGTCCCCCCAATTTGTGCTTTCAGCCATCATTAATCAAATAGCCAGAAACACCATCTTTAGCCAAGCTGTGTTTCGTGGGTTGGAAATGAGCTCCGATTAAAAATTATGTTCATTTTGAGGGCATCGCTGTTATTCGTGTGCCTCAACGCCGCTTTTGTCAGGGCTGGAGCGGGTTCAGGAGTGCCTACAGTGTGGTGGGCGGCACGTCTGAGGGCTCTGGTCATTAACGTTTCCAGAGCGATGCCCACACTTTCTCCCTAGACGCTCAGGTCACCGTGCGCGACTGGCGCGAGTGGATCAGACTGTGAAAATAATAGAGAATTTATGTTAGGGACAGGGAAAAAAGAGTGCACTCGGCTAGGTCTCCGGGTCACCGTAGCTCAGGGCTTTGAACGAGTTTATCACTACTATTAACAGCTACTTGGAGAGGGTTATTTACCGCCTCAATACGCGACAATCAGACCGCGGAGCCCACTGAGGGACCCAAGGTATGCCCCCTTGTCCCTCAGCTCCCGTCCTGTCCCCCAAACTAATTAATTCAGGGCCGCCTTCCTGCCAGACACTCCCATTGGCTCCCATCCCATCCAATGAGAACCTTGCAACAGTTTCACCTGGCTCTCGCTTCCCAAATAAACAAACAAACCGTCCCGCTACTGTGCCAGCTCTCCACCCTGGCGCCGTGGGACAGGATTGTGCTCCGACCCTCTTGCTACCTCCTCGCCCCCTCCAGTCAATCGAGCCCGGGCTCTGGAGCCCTCACCGGGCTCGGATCGCTGGCCACTCTCCTCCGCCCCTCTCGGCCTTCTCCCGCCCTCCTGTGCATTGGAGGACTCCTCGTTAGGACCTGCGTGGCCGGAGAGCCCCGCCTCCTCCCGTCGGTCCTTCCGTGGCCCCCGGGCTGGGAGATTCACCCAGAGTCTAGGCTGGGTTGGAGTTGGCCCCGCCCCTTGAGCTCGCCGCCCCCTTGCACACCTCTGCTAGCTGCAGCTCACGCCCCTCCACTGAGCCGGTTCTAGGAGCCGCCGCGGCCGCCGCGTGAGGCTGCTGTCACGTGTTGTTTTGCCCGCCGAGCGCTCAGAGTGGAGTGGGCGGGGGCGCAGGCCCAGGCGGGAGGGGGCTGGGGCAGTCGGGCAGACAGGGGTTGACGGCCTCTTCCCCCAGCCCTCCCTTCCCGGAGCCCCCCTCCCCCTTGCTCACCTTAAAACCAACGTGCATCACCATGGCGAGTTGCTCCTTCGCTTGCGACCAAGCGACAAGGAGTCTGAGAGCTACACCAGCGGCGACAGCAGCAGCTCTAGCTGTGGTGGCGACCACCCCACTTCTTTCGTCAGGAACACCGACCGCACCCATTGGGACCGGGTCGTCTTGTCCGGGAGCCATGTGGCTCTCCACAGCCACTGGCTCCCGGTCAGATTCTGAGTCCGATGAGGAGGACCTCCCCGTCGGGGAGGAAGTCTGCAAACGGGGCTACCTGCGGAAGCAGAAGCATGGGCACAGGCGCTACTTCGTGCTCAAACTCGAGACCGCCGACGCCCCAGCTCGGCTGGAGTACTATGAAAATGCCAGGAAGTTCCGGCACAGTGTCCGCGCCGCGGCAGCTGCAGCCGCGGCGGCAGCCTCGGGCGCCGCGTTCCCCGCGCTCATTCCACCGCGGCGCGTGATCACCCTGTACCAGTGCTTCTCGGTGAGCCAGCGAGCCGACGCAAGGTACAGACATCTCATCGCCCTTTTCACCCAGGACGAGTACTTCGCTATGGTGGCCGAGAACGAGTCGGAGCAAGAGAGCTGGTACTTGCTGCTCAGCCGCCTCATCCTCGAGAGCAAACGCCGCCGCTGCGGCACGCCTGGCGCGCCGCTGGATGGAGGGCCGGCCGCGCTGGCGTCCGCAGCGGCGGCGGAGCCACCCTTCTACAAAGATGTGTGGCAGGTAATAGTCAAGCCCAGGGGGCTGGGGCATAGAAAAGAGCTGAGCGGCGTGTTCCGGCTCTGTCTTACCGACGAGGAGGTTGTGTTTGTGAGGCTGAACACCGAAGTGGCCAGCGTGGTCGTCCAGCTCCTGAGCATCCGTCGCTGCGGGCACTCGGAGCAGTACTTCTTCTTGGAAGTCGGCAGGTCCACGGTCATCGGTCCGGGGGAATTGTGGATGCAGGTCGATGACTGTGTGGTGGCCCAAAACATGCACGAGCTCTTTTTGGAGAAGATGAGAGCCTTGTGTGCAGACGAATACAGAGCCCGCTGCCGCAGCTACAGCATCAGCATTGGCGCCCACCTGTTAACCCTGCTGTCCACTAGGAGGCACCTGGACATGCTGCCTCTCGAGCCCAGCGGCTGGCTCAGAAGGTCCCGCTTTGAACAGTTTTGCCACCTCCGGGCCATCGGTGACGGGGAAGACGAGATGCGCCTCACCAGACGCTACGTAACACCCAGCGAGCCTGTGCCCCATTCCAGACGAGGAAGACTACACCTGCCCAGAGCGCGTAGGTCCAGGAGAGCGGTTTCAGTGCCAGCCAGCTTTCTTCGCAGCCAAGCACCCAGCCTGGTGCGTACCCCGCCCCCTGCAGAAGACCCCAGCCACAGAGCTTGCCTGTCTCCTGAAGCACCTGGTTCCGGCTCCTGCAACTCTAGGAATGAAAGCATTCCTCAGGGCCAAGAGGGCCAGGAAGGAAACGGAGGAGGTGACTACATGCCCATGGACAACTGGGGCTCAGGACATGGCCAGAGCTCAGGAGGGGGCCAGAGTTCAACTGGCCAAGGTTCCAGCAGCCAGAGCTCAGGAGGAAACCAGTGCTCAGGCAGGGGGCAGGACTCCGGAGGTGGCCAGGGCTCAGGGGGCCAGGGTGCAGGAGGAAGTCAGTGCTCAGGAGGTGGCCAGGGCACCGGAGGTGGGCGAGGCTCAGGCAGTGGCCAGGGAGCCGGTGGTGGTCACAGCTCAGGCAGTGGCCAGGGAGCTGGTGGAGGTCATGGCTCAGGCAGTGGCCAGGGACCAGGAGATGGCAATGGCTCAGGTGGTGGCAAAGACTCCAGATGGGGCAAAGGCTCAGGAAGTGGTAAAGGCTCCGATGGCAATGGTGAACGCAGGAAATCGCTGAAAAAAAGATCCTACTTTGGCAAATTAACTCAAAGCAAGCAACATCAAATGCCACCACCTCCACCTCCACCTCCGCCAGGTGGAGCAACTGGTGGAAAAGGGAAGCCTGGAGGAAGGTTCCGACTTTATTTTTGTGCTGACAGAGGAGCCACAAAAGAACACAAAGAAACCAAAGAAGTCAAAGATGCAGAGTCCTCAGATGGTGCAGCTGGGGGTCCCCCAAAAGCCAGAGCTTTTGATGAAGATGAGGATGACCCATACATGCCAATGAGGCCAGGGGTGGCTGCCCCTCTTGCAAGCTCCAGTGATTATATGCCGATGGCTCCTCAAAATGTTTCTTCTTCAAGAAACCTCCACTCTCGATCCCCTTTTGAAGATTCAAGAGGGTACATGATGATGTTTCCCAGAGTGAGCCCACCACCAGCCCCCAGTCCTCCAAAAGCATCCGATCCTGATAAAGAGGATGACTCTAAGGACAATGACAGTGACGGTGATTACATGTTTATGGCTCCTGGAGCCGGTGCAGTTCCAAAAAACCCCAGAAATCCTCAGGGCGACTCTTCCTCCAAAAGTTGGAGCTCCTACTTCTCTCTGCCAAATCCTTTTCGGAGCTCCCCGTTGGGACAGAGTGACCACAGTGAGTATGTACCAATGTTATCTGGAAAACTGGAGAAGGGCCCAGACAAAGAAACCCTGTCTATCGGGGGCCCCAAAGATGTAGCCTCAAAGCCTTCAGTTGAGGGCTCATTCTCAAGGCCTGGAGATGGGGGGTCACCTTCAAAGACTTCAGATGATGAGTCCCCCAAGAACAAGGCTAAGCGTCTTAACCGACTTTCTTTTATTGCAAAGGGAAATAAAATCAAGCCAATACCACAACAGCCCACATACGAGCAGAAAGAGGCTGATAGCTCTAGTGACTATGTCAATACTGACTTCACTGAAAGAAATAGCAATATGCTAGCCCCCTTTACTCAAGGACTGCCACATTCCTGGGGCATAGTTGCTGACCCCCGACAGTCGGCCTTTTCTCGTTATGTGAATGTTGAGTTCAGAGTGCCATTTCAAAATCTAGCAAACGACCTCTCAAACCTTTTAAGAGCTATTCCAGGTGCCAACCTCTTCTCTCTGGATGGTGCTAGGTGGCCACTTCTGCCTCTTCTTCCCAGTGCTACAGGGAGCAATGCTAATGAGGAAGAGTGTGACTACATTGATGTGATTTTCAACCCAGCAATGACACCAGCCGTGCCTTTTGCTGACAGGGCCATTCGCTACGATGCTGAAACAGGTCGCATCTATGTGGTCGACCCATTTTCTGAGTGCTGTATGGACATTTCTGTCTCCCCCAGCCGCTGCTCTGAACCACCACCTGTAGCTAGGCTGCTGCTGCAGGAAGAAGAGCTCGAGAGAAGACACCCACAAAGTCGCTCTCGAGGTTTCTTTGCCTCTGCCAGCGCCGCTGTCTCGGCTTTCCCAACCGACAGCCTGGACAGAGACCTCTATGCCTCCTTAGCCTCCGCTGCCGCTGCGGTCCTTGTGCCAACCTTTGCCGTGGGCCGGGCTTTAGCCATTGCCTCCGTCCTCGTTGTGGCCCCGGGCATTGGCGCAGCAGCCCTCGGCTTTGACGCCGCCATTGGATTTAACTCCGCCTCTGTCCGCTGTTTCCAACCTGTTACTAATGCTGCTGGTGCCGAAGCGGTAAGGGGTGCCCAGGTCGTTGCCGGTGCCTGGAATCCTAGAGCCCCAAACCCATCTTCGGACCTTGCCGGAGGTGAGAACCTGGCTGGCGGCGCTGCAGCTGCAGCTGCTACTCCCCCACCATCACCTGGCCGCTGGGTGCCGAGACCACCAGAGCGAGAAGATTCTGACGATGATGACGACGACACGTACGTGAGGATGGACTTTGCCAGACCTGACAACAAGAAATTCGACTCTCCCCAAAGAGGTTGGTAATTTTAGAATTTATTTCTCTGAATAATGGTCATTGCTTAATGAATTGATGTGCTAATATGTCTACAGTGTTAGGAAAAAGTAAGTTAGTATTTCATTAATTGGTGCCTATTTAGTTTTAATTATGCATGGAATACCTTCTGATCTTTGCAAGAACTTAAGTTTTAATCTAATAATAGTTTGTTTATCTGGAAAGAACCGATTATCACTTAAACATTGGCTCTATTTTTTTTTAGTGGTAGTTAAAACTTAAAGATATGTATTGTAGCATGAGGATGCAATCATATGTCTGTCCCTAACACTTAATGATTTATGCAAACAGGACACATTAAATTGAATCTCATCACCTCATTTTAAAATCAACAAGTAAAAGGTGCTTTTCTACAAATGCCCATATTTAATTGCAGGAATTTTAGTAAGAGCACAGAATATTAAGCAGTCACAGCCAACTGTTAGCATTTGGGGTAGGATGACTTCCCCTTCTGAAAATTACTTTTTAGAAAGCAGTCGTGGTCATGTTAGTTTGCTGTGATTTACCTAGAAAGCTAAGTTTCAATTTTTAGCGCGAATATCTGGAGGAAACAAAACATAAATAATCCAAAACAACAGGTGATTAAAAGAAGAGAGTATTGGGCTCTGGAATGTGTTTTTGTGTTGATTTGTTTTGTTTTTACACACAGGATAAGTTGCCAGAAACCTTGAGTGTTCCATTCCTCTGTCACTACTAGTGACAGCCAAATAAACTTCACTGTGACTCAATTTCCTTATGGAGCTCCCCCAAAAGAGGGTATGGTGATAACTTGATAATGGGTATGAATATTGTTTCAAAGGTTTAAAAAACATTTAAAATATCTAATTGGTGTGTCTTCTGGGAAATCCAGGAAAGCAAGATCATAAGGCTGGAGGAAGACCTGACTCCAGGGGCAACCTACCCTGGAACAGTGGAAGTTTTTTAAAGCGTTACTTTTCCAAAGGAAGAAATAAGGGAGAGTAGAAGCTGTCAGAGTTGTAAATAAGGCTTTGTGTAAATTTACTGTGTACATTGTGTGATGTTGTTATCAGTGTGTCTGGAGACATTCTCAAGAAATTATTTCAGAAGATGATGTCTCCATAATCTCAAGTGCCTTCACTCTTTAGTAGAATGTGCTGCTTTCCCAGTGAAGGGAAGGAATGGACACCAGCAGTTTTCATTCCAGTAGTCAGTTTAGTGAAAATTTTTGCTTTGCTTGCTTTGCGGAATGCCTTTGTGATTGGATCTCTGCCCACTGTGCTTGATCAGGCAGAACAAGTCGGGGACTGATCACAACAGTCACCTAACAAGCTTCCTATTTAGTGCAGGTGTAGCCTCCCACCCCCCTCTCCCCCTGCTTTAGAAAACTTGCCACACAAAAGCTCACATTTGCAGCACGGACACATTAAAGAGTGATCATTAAAAGGACAAAAGGATGCTTTGGCTTGTCAAAGGATTCCATTCAGATCTCCTTTAAATTGTGAGCTGAGTTGCCCCCACTCCCAACACGATCACCACTACTACCCAAACCTTGCATTTAAATATATATAATTCTATTTCCAAGAATTTAATTCATAATCAGCTTTTCAGGAACAGATCATTTTATTCTGTAAAGTACACCTGAAAATTGGTCTCAAGGTATTCTTTGAGCCTAAATGCTGAAGACACCATTTATGACATTGATGTAGGTTTTCCATAGCTGCCTGTGTCCCTGTGGTATCTTAGAAAGGACAAATTTTCAGAGAAGTTTGCCCTAACTTGCCAATACTCTTTGTTTTAGCAAATTAGTGAAATATTCTTATTCCCTAAATAGACCCTGACTTCCCAAGGATTATCCAGATCCAATTTTCATTATTTTAGCATATGTTACAGATTTATAAATAACTTCTATTGACTTTGTAGTTGCTTTAATGTTATCTAAATGTATTGTTCATTAAGGAAATTATTGAGTGACTACACAAGGAAGCTGTATCTCACCGGGAAGTGGGTGCTTAGGTTGAAACAAGAGATGTGGAAGCACTTTGGAACTTGAAAGCACTTCACAAAATATTTTTATTTTGTCATTGGATTAACACTGAAGTGAACATTGAACAGTTGAAACTAATGATTTACTTTCTTGCAAAAATGGTTGGTCTGGAGGATAATTCAGACGCATAATTTCCTGAGCTATATAAAAAGAAGGCGATATAGAAAGAACTCAGCAGGAAATTACTTTTGCTACTGTTTTAATGTAAATTGATATGGTAGAACGTTATCTGTGAAGTGTCAAGAACAGGCTGGATAATTCTGATGTGTTTTGACTATACAGCTATAGAATAATTTTCACCCATTTCTGATCTCTCTTCACTTTCCTATCAAACATTTTCATGCTATAAAACAGAAAATATGCTTTGACAAAGAACAACGGCACAGTCTTTATTAGTAGTTAGGCATCTCAAAGGGTAATTTTAATTCATGGCAAGTGCTTAGAACAGTGCCTGGCACACAGTAAGTGTTGTACATGAATTATTATACAACTATTATCATTGTTGTTACTGGTATTATTATTACCTTTAGAAACACAGCTAAACACAGTTCTTTGTTCTCAAAACCCACTTTTCTGTTAGTCTTTAGTTTCATTTTAAATGGTTTATATGGTTGTTCAGAGTTGGGATCTTTGTAGTTGGGATCTGTTTAGAACTTAATTGAAATGAAGTGAGATGATAAGGCAGTGAGAAAACTTTGTTCATGTAACGCAAAAATAATATGTGATCTCATTTACCCACAGTCACACTGCACAGAAGTACTTTAAAGCCATTTGTTGAAGACAATTAAAAATAAGCACCCAGAATTATAGCCCAGACTTGATCTTTTTATAAATGAAATAGTTTGAAAAGTGTGAAGTCTTCACATTTTATACACATGGGTTATAAACATTAGCATTTAGGAGGAGGAGAACGTAGTTTCTTATACAGGTTTAGTCTAACTCTTGACCCACATATGCCTTTTTGCCTTTTTTATTGCTGTATCTGATATATCTATAAAATACATAATTTTAAATGACTTAAGTGAAAAATTCACCGATTTTTCCATTCCACAAATAAGAGGATAAGGGTCAGCTTTAGGAGGGGTGTGAGATTTGGTCAGCCAAATTTGTAATGTTATGATAGCACTTGGTATTCAAAAGCAAGAAAATAAAATCTGTAGTAATTACCTTTTGAAAATTTAGACACTGTTATTAACATGAAGGAAGTGTAAGCTTCTTTTCAGTGTACTACTGCCATATCCTCTTGTTATAAATTAAAGGTGCTAAGAGCATATTGTTTTTGTTGTATTGGACCCATTATAAATTGCTAGAGTAAAATCTCCATATAGCAGAGATTCTCAATCACCATTGATGGGTCATTTATTTTAGGAAACATTCACTCCCCAAAACAAATTGGACAGTCAGTTGTTGTAGAGGTATGTGACCTATAACAATTAAAGAGGACTTCATTCAATTAAAGTTAACTAATTTGTATTCATTCTAAGAGTGATGCTTCCAGGGTAAAAATTTCTACTAGCAAAACATCTTCTTTAAATAAGGACTAGAATGAGCCTAGATTTTTTCTGTTGCAATAGATGAGGGTAACTAACCAGTATAGGGAGCAATAAGGAATATTGTGTGTGATTTAAAAGGGACTGTTGTTAAATTGTCAACTTGTTGACTGAGGTAATGTTTTACAGTTGCATACTGCCTTATAATTTGCAAAGCACATTCACATTCATTATCTTATTGGGGGACAGAAGGAACTGGAACTGAAGTCGGTGTTAAGAATGTCCCTGTAGATAGAAAAGACAGTCTGGGGAATATAATCAATAATATTGTAAATATTTTTTAGGGGGCCAGATGGACTCATGTCTTGCTAGGGAGACCACTTCATAGTCAGTGTAGAGGCCTGACCACCACACTGCATTTCTGAAGCTGATGTTGAATAATATTGTATGTCAACTATAATTATATACATATAGTCATGGGACGTGGAGTAGAGTGTGGGAATGGAGTCAATGGAAATGTAATAGATAAGCATGATATTGGGGGTGTGAGGGCAGTAGATGGGGGAGGGGAGTTGTTTATGTGCGAAGGGTGAAAAGGATAACTATTGCATTGTTCTGTACACCTGAAACTAATAATAAAAAATAAAAAATACAAAAATAAATAAATTTTTAAAAAAAGAATGTCCCTGTAATCGAAGAGGTAAGTGGCAGAGCTGAAACTCAAACCCATATGTCTGATTTCAAGTCCAGTGCTCCGCCCAGCACACCACACTGCCCTTTATTCATGTATTCGATCTGATCTTTTCTGATTGATGAAAGATTATTATATAGGCAAAGATTGGGGAAATGTTCAAGTTTTCTTGAATTTGATAGGAGCAAAATTTGTTGTAAGTAATTCCTTTACAGCATTATCACTTGTGAACCACCTGCCAGAGCTTGGGTAATTTTCATTACATTGAACTGTTTGCCATGACTCTCAGAATAAAATAATTAGATCTTTTCTGGAATTGAAGGTTTTAAATATGGTCTAGGGAGGAGTTTGCGTATCTTTACCTCCCAAACACAAATAGTGTGTGTATCTGTTTGGATCCCATGGAAACATTTAAAGGAAGAAAAGTAAAATGAAGATTAATTCATTCAGTAAACTTCCATTAATGGTCATTTCCTTAACTGAAGTTGGGTATCTTTGGATTTCCTAATAATCCACTGACATTTGCCAGTTATAGCAAGTCTTTTAATTTCATTTTTTCCATGTGTATAAAATCTGACATTCTAATCTACACCATCACAGTTGGCAAAACAGGATAAAGAGAGAAAGGTAGAAGATAAAGCGCTGTAGACATAGATGTTCTTTATTCAAAAATTAAACTTGCTTTTGGCAGTTAGGCAAATAGATTTTAGAAGCCTTGAAAATCAAGTCCTCTCCTTGGGACACAGAAATCCTTGTTTAAAATTAAATTAATTTTGTT